TTATAACTTGGAATAGCTGTTACATTAATTGTTAGTGTAGCTTTTTATATTGCTTCAGTAAAGGTAGAAAAACAATAATGGATTGTTTTGGCATTATATGAGTTCATTGCCCTATCTAGTTGATTCCATCTCTTTTTTCCTCCTCTTATTATCTTAAATTATACTGTATTTCATATTCAGTTTTTTTTTTTATTTGTAAGACAAACTAATTGCTAATGTGAGGAAGAAATGTATAGGATCCAGAGCCAGACCCATCCCCAACTCAGCCACTAACTGGGAGGTTATGAAGAAGAACAAGATTAGAAGTTGCTTGAATGTGTAGGGAGCATTTGGGTCCTAGAGTAATTGAGAACAATCACAACAAAAAAGCAGTTTTGTATACCTCTCTTAGATATCTTCATCATAGTAGAATATGGACATTCATAGACTTTAACAGGAAAGAAAATAAGAAAACTTTAAAGGTTTCTGTTGATAGAGGGTAAAAGAAAAACTAAGAACATGTGGTAGTGTTACCAAACTTAAATTTGGCTGCTCATGGCTCAAGAATATAATACTGAGAGACCAATATTGGGTAAAAAGAAAGAGCAATATTGAGGAAGTTGGCAATCCCAAGGAGAAGGTTGACTCATGGACCAAAGAACTGAGCTCCTACTCCCCATAGTTTGCTTGGAGGTTATACAGGGGAAAGAGAAAAAGAGCTACATGCTCGTGAGAAGGTTTCAGGGTATATGCTCAGTTCATGGACATCCTTTTGTTTGGCTGGTGATGAGATAACCAGGAGTCAACATCATCAACTTCTGGTTCCAAATGGTCTGTGGGTCTACATGCTTGCGGGCAGCATGTTTGTGAGCAAACTCGTCTGATGGGGGTTTTAGTATATACAAAATAGTTCAAAAGATATGGTGCAGAATGTTTTATATAGCCCTTAAGAAAAACTGTCTTTGACTGTTTAATAGCTAAACTATCATTATTTTGTCTTGTTTGACAGTTTTCCTTTGTTTCTGCATTTTCTCATTTCTCTGATTAAATTTATCATTTGGCTTAAGTTTTTTTACAGACAAGAGGCAAGTGGAGGACATGAGTGGGGAGGGTCTGTCCCAGAGAGGCCCCATAAGGCCTTGTGCAGTTACAGTAGCAAGATGAAAATATTTTTTAAAAGATGAGTAAGAATGACTAAAAAGTGTCCTTTTGGCTTAGCAACGAAGAACTCTTCAGTTATCTTGGAATGACAATTTCAATGTCATACGGTAAATTGGGGGTGAAATGGAATGATGGAAGCCACAGGTGAGGAAAGAGAAATTTTTTCCCTGAACATTTGTTCATTCAACAAATATTCAGCACCTACAATGTGCCAGACATTGGTCACAACTGTCACATTGGTCACAATAGCAAACAATCCTTGCCCATAGTAAGCTTAGGCTGTGGAAGAAGGTGTTTAAATGCCAATTGCAAATGTAAAAAATAAATAAAATAAAATAAGCAGAAACCTCAATTAAATAGAGTTGGATTGGATACAGTTAGAATTACCATTGGATACAATGACATATTATTCTCCACAGTCAAACCAAACTTTCAAAACAGTCCTTGTGTTCTAAACTTTTCCAACATATACCTGATTTATATAACTTTATTGCTGAGTAAATTGTCTTGGGGTTTATGGAGATGAACTATTATGTTTGTATTAAGATTTGCTGGGAGTGATAGGTGGACATATCTATATATCAATAAGGACTAACCATCTCTCTCTTTTTTGTATATAGGAAATTGACAACTATACTGTTTGAAACCCACAGTGTTTTACTCCACTTTCAAAAAGATTAACTTGGCACTTTCCCCCCCTTTTTTTTTTCAATTGAAACTAAGATTTTTTTCTCATTTTAGGGCAAAAGATAATTTGAAGGATTAAACTAAAAAGATAGTTTAGATGGTGTATATTTTTAAAACTAAGAACATGTATACAGGTTCTGTGTTGCCAAGTTTATATGTGACAGTTGAAAAAAAAAAAATTCCCCTGTAATGATCATGGTGTTAAAATTTGGGGCTTTAGTAAACTTGGAGAACCAGCAGTCATAAGGTCAGTGGATAGTTTCACTCCCAAAGAAATGAATTGCTCCTGTGTATTTCCCTGTAGAACCCAATAGTAAATCCTGTCTCAGTCCTATATATTTACAAGGACCCTATAAGATGACCACCAAGGCTTTGGGTCTATGCTAAACAGGAAGCTCATGAAAATATCTTGTATAAATTTGTTTCTTTTCTTTCCAATAAGCTCACATTTGGATAAGTTTAAAAAGACAGTAATTACATTTATGTTTCCATAACACTATAATTTGGGTGATTGTTAATTCAGTTAGATACTGGGGAAAAAAATAGAGTTGGGAGACTAGAAAACTGAAGTCTCATACCCTGCTGACCTCAACAGGAAGAAGACAGACTTCCCTTTCCTGGCAAAGATATTTGATACAAACGAACTTACAAAACAGAGACTCGCAGATTTAAAGAATGAACTTGTGGTTGCAGGGAGGAGGATGGAGGGAAGGGATAGATAGAGAGTTTGGGATGAAGTACATACTGCTATATTTCAAATAGATAACCAACAACGACTATTATATAGCACATGGAACTCTGCTCACTGTTATGTGCAGCCTGGATAGGAAAGGAGTTTGGGAGTGAACAGATACGTATATATGTATGGCTGAGTCCCTTCACTGTCCACCTGAAACTAATCACAACATTGTTTATTAATTGACTATACTCCAATATAAAATGTTAAAAAAAGACTCAATGAAAAGCCATGAACTCTTTGCTATTAAAACCCTCCTAGCTCCCTTTCTCTCTCTATACCAGCTTTCTTCTTCCCTTTCCAGTCCTTTTCTTGCATGTTTCCCCGTGGTTGCAAACCTTGGGTTGCTCCATTCTACTGATCCCAAATAAACACATTCTTGTTGGAGAATTATCTGGTAGTCTTACTTGTTTCAGATCAACACAGAGAATAAGAAGGAAAAGTTGAAAATAGGTTGAGAAAAGATGTGTAATTGACCCCTTGGATAGTTTTCCTCAAATAACCAGCTGCAGAGCTCAAATTGTTATATGAATACAGGGATGGGAGAGAAAGGGAAAATGGACTAACACATGTGCTTCCTGCTCAAAAAAATTTTTTCTTCAAATATGTTAGCTACTTCTTCCTGCAAATATATACGCACAGCAGATGTTTCAGTCCAAATAGCCTTGGAAATATTTATGTGAATCTTTATTTCATTCTAGTTTTGCACTGGGGTGGTTTCATGTAAATGACTGGAGGGAGGAAAAAAAAATAAGCAGAAGATTCACATTTAACAGCATCTCATTAACTACGGTGGCTCAGTGGTAAAGAACCCAAATGCCAATGCAGGAGAGGCAGGTTTGATCCCCGGGAGGGGAAGATTCCCCTGGAGAAGGAAACCGGCAACCCACTCTAATATTCTTTCCTGGGAAATCCTACAGACAGAGAAGCCTGGCCAGTTGCACATGGGGTCGCAAAAGAGTCTGACAAGACTTAGCAACTAAACAGCTCATTAATTATAGCATCAAATCACAGTCCTATAAATCATTGAAGTGGTTAATCAAATCTGAAAAACAGCATTCCTCATTGCTAGATTTATTTCACCATAAAAACTGCGTTAGAGCTCTTGCCTTTAGGGGGAGGCAACTGGGAACTAAAATAAGGGCCCTGTCCCCAGGAGCTTCCAACCTACCAAACCCGCCTAGGTTTGCGAAACGCTCTTCATTGGTTACAGGATTTAGGAAACGTGTAGCACCTCCTCTCCTCCCTCGGCCTCCCGCCAGAGAGACTGCTCGAAATTGGAGGGAGCCGCCCTAAGTGAATCGGCGGGAATTCAGGGCGCCGGGGTAGTACAGCCGCCACCCGCCCCGCCACGCGCTGGATCCTCTAAGTATTCCGGGAAACTTCCAGCGCATTTTAGGCCGAGACACATCTCGTAATTCGTCCTCTAAAGGCCCGAGAACGAGCAACTAGTATGCCCTACCGGTCGTGTACGCATGCGTGGGACTGGGTTGCTGGCGTGCGTGTGACGTCACGAGCGCGCCCGTCCGAACTCTTCCTAGTTTCTCTTAAGAGAGGGGTCAGTCAATTTCCAAGTAAGTTTGGAGATCTTGACCTGGTTGCGAGGTGAGTTGGGACCTGAACCGATATAATGAAGAACCTGGTTTAGTTTAGGTCAACATTTGGAGGACTTATTGCAGGGAAACTCTTCATACTTGTCTTTCTCGTGAGCTTAACTTGTGTTGAGCATCTTAGCATTGCATTTTGTAAGCAGCTGACTTCAGTTAGTCCAGGTCTCCGCCCTCAAGACGGTCATCTGGCTTGGAGAAGCTTGGTGCGCACACACTAAAACTAAATATAGATACTAGTGCGTGTCCCAGACAATAAGTTTGGGGAAAAAAAGGAACCTGAAAATATGCAAGTTAACAGCAGTTCAGTAGTTTCTTTAGACTGCGTAGGGGCTGGAGGGAGGAGGCAACTGATGTATTTTGGAGTCATAAACTTTTGGGGCACAGTTTATCTACATAATGTTACAACTGCCAAAGGGATTTGAAAACGAGCGCAAAACATTTCAACCTCCTTTCCCTTCCTCAATAGTTTGTACACTTTAAAGCACAGTAGTAAAGGCAGTTGTTAGGGCCCTTTTCGCAGATCCTAAAACTAAATTGTACAAGTAGTTCTTAAAATACAAGACTAATAGAAAATGGTTAAGTTTGAATGCCTTAGGAGGATGTGTGTACTGATCCTCGTAATAAAATTACGGAATAATTCACCCGTCCTTCTTCTCCCCCAACAAGGGATGACTAACTAGAAAGGAAAAGCAAAAGTCAGTCAAAGACGCTTAAAGCAAATTATTTATTACCTTTTGGATAAAATACTGGTTTTTTTGTTTTCAGCAGTAAGTTATCAATTTCTCTAACTGAATTTGCTTTCCATCACACTATGAAGCAGATCTGATATGCCACTTGAATTAATAAAAGAAGTCAACGGAGTGCCTGAAGTTGATCTGCTAAATAAATTACACAAAGTCGATATCAGATCCCTACAGCCAGGTTGTGATTATGACAAGAAATATATCCAGGTAAGAACTGACGCAACTCAGAATAGTTATCGTTTGTTTTGAGAAGTTGGATTGTCGAGTCCCTTGGTGTGTTCTTTATTTCAGCTTATCCTGATGTGAGTAACTGAACTTCTTGGATGCACAGGTCAATAGTTTTTATCAAATTAGGGAAATTATTGACTAATGTTTCTTGGAATTTTTTTTTCTTATTATTACTCTTTTCTTTTTCTGGATGTCACTTACATGTATGTTTGCATGTTGGGTTCTTTGATATTGTCCTTCTGGTCTGTCAGGTACTGTTTGTCTTTTTTCAGTACTGTTTTTGTTGTGTGTTTTGGCTGAGGATTTTCAGACTGTGGAATTTCTATTGATTTTGTCTTTAAGTTCCTGAACTTTTTAGGGGGTTATATCCAATATTTGTTACATGTATTTAGTGAATTTTTAAATTTTAGTTATTGTATATTTAGTTTTGGGTCAAAGTTAAGAGTGATGGGAAGCAGGTAAATGGCTTACTGACAAAATGTGTCATATAGTAAAAGAGAAATGATGTAACTTTTCAGTTTTACCCCATAATCAATATTCTCCATGTAGACATTTATCTTTCATTTTTTTTGTTTTTCATTTTCCTGATATTTCCTGTCATATGAAGTAAAGTTCTATGTATTACAGCTGGTCTTCTCTACTTCATTGTATTTAAATTCCTAATCAAATGTTTTTTAGTATTTGCAAACTCACTTCACATTTGGTTGATTAGGATGATGCTTCTTGCATACATGTGTTTATTAATAAAATGCTTTGATTAATTTTCTTTCTGATGAATCATTAATCTTAATTATTACTATGCTGTACCTAACTTCATCATTCTTCTCTTATTTTGTGTGTTTGATATGGAAGAATTTAAATGAAATATATAAAAAATTCTAGCATTTTTATTAGTGTTATTAAGATAAACCCTTTTAGATATAAATGAAATGTCAGTTTTAATTCTTACATTCCTTTTTCTAACCTGCACATGTCTGCAGGTATCTCAAGAAACATTTACGTTTCTTGAATTTTATTAAATACATTTTACTATGAAATTCACTGTATTTTACTATATATAGGTCTGTGAGTTTTGACAGATGTATAAAAGCGTGTAACTGCAACCATAATCAAGCTGTAAAACAGGCTTTCACTCCCCCAAAATTTTATAGTCAGCTGCTACCTTAATTTCAATCCATGGCAACCACTTTTGACCAGTTTTCTCAGGTTATACAGTATTTTTTGCCTTTCAAGAATGCCATGTAAATTGAATCATACAGTATGTAGAGTTGGACATGACTGAGTAGAGTTGGACATGACTGAGCAGCTGAACTGAACTGTTTGTAGCTTTTTTCTTTTTAATTCTAGTTGATGTACAATATTATATGTTACATGTATCAGTGTGTAGCCTTTTGATTGTGTCTTCTTTTCACTCCTCTCAATTCTTTAGGTTGTTATGTTTATCAATAGTATTACATTTTATTGATTGCTAGAATTCCACCACAGTCTGTTTATAACATTCCCCAGTGTAGCAGTACTTGGATTCTTTCCAGTATTTTGTAATGATGAATAAAGAAGCCTTAAAATTTTATTCTAATTTTTACTTTTGTTATTACAGTCTCTTGAATTTATGTGTAACTTTTTTTTCTCACTTCAGGGAAAACTCTCACTTATCTCTTCTTTAATCTGTGGTGAAAACAGAAGAGCTATTTTAAAGATTGGACTTCAAGGTAAATGACAAGACCATTTCTACTTAACTTTTTGCTTATAATCTAGAAATGGGTAACTTTATGTATACATACACATATAACCACAAAAATCATTTTTAGTATGAAACTCTATAGAGTGAAAGTTATTCTTTTACTCCAGCATCAAATATATGGAATGAAAAGTTACTCTTTTCCTCTCTAAATCTTTTCTTCAAAGTCTGTCCACTCCTCACTCCCCCATGGCTTCCATTTTACTTCAGATTCCTTTAATGTCCTATCCAGATATTACAATGGCTAACTTATCTCCCTATTTCTAGTTTCATTAATGTGACCCAAACAGCAAATTGTAAGATAATGCTATTTTCAGCATGTTATTTCTTTCCTAGGTGTTACGTAAGCTAATTCTTCTCCCTAGTAACCCTTAAATAATCTTGGTAAGAGTTTAGAATACTTGGAGACCAAAGTAAATCTCATCTGAAGTCTGAAATTAGTTAAATGAATGAAGAATGGTCTACAGCAGGAAATGGGAAATAAACTTTGAAGTATATTTCCAAAACTATTGGAAACCATATACATAACAGACACTGTTCTAGGTACAGGGAATGTAGCTATGACCAAAACAAGGTTCTTGCATTCATGGAGTTTACATTGTAGGGGGATAAGTAAATTCAGCAGATAATTATACAAAGTAATAATTGACAGAAATTTGGTTTGAAGAAAAATAGAGCAGGATGTGGTGGTGTGCCTGATGTATTATCCTTTTATATATTCCTAGGTTTGATTTGCTAATGTTTTGTTAAGAATTTTTGCATTTAAATTTATTAAAAATATGGTAGGAATCTGTCTTTTCCTGTAGTGATTTTGATTGATTTTGATGTTGGGGTAATGCTGTCCTTAGTAAAGAGTTGTTTATGGCCCCTCCTTTCCTATTTTCTGGAAGACTTTACCTGGAATTGTTTACTTCTTCCTTAAATGTTTATAGAATTCACTGGTGAAACCACTTGTACCTAGAGAGTTTTTCATTCAGTTCAGTTCAGTCGTTCAGTTGTGTCCGACTCTTTGCGACCCCATGAATTGTAACACGCCAGGCCTCCCTGTCCATCACCACTCCTGGAGTCTACCCAAACCCATGTCCATCGAGATGGTGATGCCATCCAGCCATCTCATCCTCTGTCGTCCCCTTCATCTCCCACCCCAATCCTTCCCAGCATTAGGGTCTTTTCCAATGAGTCAACTCTTCACATGAGGTGGCCATTAGAGTTTCAGCTTCAACATCAGTCCTTCCAGTGAACAGCCAGGACTGATCTTCTTAGGAAGATTTAATTCTAAGTTCAGTCCCTGTAACTGACATAGGGCTATTGAAATTATCTCTTTCTTAGATAAGCATTGATAGATTCTGTTTCTAAAGGAATTTATCCAGGTCATCTTGGTTGTCAAAATGTTGGTGTAAAGTCATTCATAAAATACTTTTTATATGCTTTTATTGTATGTAGGATCTGTAGTGATGTTGTATTTCATTGATTTGATAATTCATGACTTCTGTCTATCTCTCTTACTTTTTTCCTGATCATTCTGGCTGGAGATTATTTTATTGATTTTTAAAATCAGCTTTTAAGTGAATGCTGGACATTCAGAATTTTATATTATCAAATATTGGATTTATTTGTAATTCTTTAAATATTGTTTGTCTTAATTTTGGAACACTATAAATTCTCTTGGAATCAATTTGATTAACTTTGTTAGGATGGGTCTAGAGCAGCATTTATGTGGGGACTAATTTGTCCTGATAACTAAGGAAGTGCCCTTCTGACAAGTTTACAATGTGCTTTGTGTATGAGGATTCCACTCCGGAGCCAGAACAGTTCACAGCACTGTGTGAGTCTCAGAATTATTCTGCCTCTTTCTTTCAAGTGGTTCTGATTGCTTTTTGGTATTCTTTCTTCCCATGCTTTTGGAGATCAGTACTCAGCCAAAGACCCAAAGGCACTCATCTCCAGAGCACTTGTCTATGCTGCTGTCTTCCTTTTAGCAACATGTTGCACAAATTCTATCCACTTTGCTGTCCTCAAATCTGAATTCTCCTGAATTCAGTGAGGCTGTTGGGCTTTCTTTAGATTTTACCTCCATTTTCTGTTGCCTAGAATCTCCAGGAAATAAATTAGGGCTCTGGCTTTGGTTTCCTTCTCAAAGAGAATAGTTGCCTGCACTTCCTGTTGTCCAGTGTCTGAAAACTTGTGTTTTTATATATATGTGTGTGTGTGTATATATATATATATAGTCGTTGTTTTTGTCATGGCCAGAAATAGACATCTGACAGGGCATTTACTATATTAAGAAGTAAGTTATATATTGATTAGAAGCCATTGTATTTTTGAGGACATTAGTGTTTTAATTTATGTATCTACTTATTTTGAGGAATTGGATGACAGAAGTAAACAAAAGGAGATAATAGGCAGATGTGTGATAGTTTTTTCATTGCTGGTGATAAAGTAGCAGATTGAAGAGTTATAAGTTACACTGCAAGTTTTGGAAAGATGTTTCATATACTTCATAGATACATGAAAGTCTGATGTGAGGGCAGTTGGAGTAATTGTTTGAAAGCTGATATTAACGAGACCTCCCTCCGATGATACAGTAATTGAATCTTAGCATTTGGCTTTGCTTCAGTGGTTCTTGGAGGTGACCTCTGGAGAACAAAGATTATGGAGAGTCTTCCCCAAAGCCTAGAATTTCCAAATGAGATTCCTCGTAGCATATCTGTTTCTTCTTTTCCAAATAGTTCTTATTGTCAAAATCACAAAAAGCTCAGTTTTTATACACACACTGCTCTTTTACTCTTCAATGAATGGGTGCTGCAGAGAACTCACTTGTCTAGATTAAAATTTAAAATTCTAATAATTATATATTACCAGAAGTTCAGTAAAAATAAAGTATTTGGAGAGTGATGTTATACACTATAAAAATTGAATTGTTTTTATTTAGTTCTTATTCAGTATCTTATTCAGTTCTTTTGATTGTAGCCATGGGAAAATAAATTGAAAGTGATCGTTACGTGATGTTAATGTGGTATTTACAGAAATTTGTAAAACATAGTTGAAACTAGTTATAATTCTGGTTTTAAAGCCTAGTAGCATTCTGTACATTATTTTTGTGATTTTAAGGTGATAGAGTAAACTAAAAGTGAATTATAAGCATTTTAATTACTCTTCTTCATAACTTTATTTTGAAGTAACTATGGGTTTTAGAATTTAGTTGTCAGCAATTTTTTTGTGTCCATAAAGCTGTGTCTGATGTGTTTTTCTGTGTGTTTCTCTATAGAACAAGATAATTCGAGTTCAGAGATCAGCAAGATCAATATATTATTTTTTGGAAGCTTAGCAAAGGACTGTGCCAAAGTTTTCTATGAAGGGGTAAAATCATTTTATATTACTTTATCTCTTTAGAAATAGAATTATTGATCATGCTATATGTATCCTACAAGCCATTTTTTAGAAGTTCGTTATAGATTTGCAGATGTATGAAAAATTACACTTTTTAAAAAAGCAACATCCTTAAAATTGAACACTCCAAAGAGATTAGTGAAACTTATCATTGACAGAAAAAGGGACAATTTTTCCTCTCACTGAAGTTTAATTTTCAGTATTCAATAGACTGTCTTAAAGGTAGGTACATTTTCTCTTACTTAAAAATAATCCTTACTAACTAAAAAATAATACGAGCTCTAAGTCTATATGAGTATGTCTATAATATTTTCTGTAATTATTATAAAATAAATGCCAGCTAAAATCCCCAACAAGATGATACCAAACCAAACCCAGCAGCATATTAAAAGGAGAGTAAACACCATGACCAAAGGGATTTATCCCAGAAATTGTGTTTGGTTCAACCTAAGAAAATCATTGTACTACATTGTAACAGCATCACTGACTAGATGGATATGAATTTGGGCAAACTCCAGGACATAGTGGGGGACAGAGAAGCCTGAGTGCTGCAGTCCATGGGATCTCTGGATTGGACACATTTAGCAACTGAACAGCAACAAAATACGCCTCATTAATAATAGAACAAAGGGATAGAAAGCACTGCGACTCAGCATTGCTCTAGAACTTCTAGCCAGAGCAATCAAATAAGAAAGAAAAGAAAGACATCTAATCTGTAAAGAAGAAATAAAAATATCTCTCTTTTCAGAGTAGGAAGTCAAGACATACCTGGAATAACAGGCAGTTTGGCTTTGGAGTACAAAATGAAGTGGGGCAAAGGCTAATAAGAGTTTGGCCAAGAGAATGAACTGGTCATAGAAAACACCCTCTTCCAACACACGAGAGACAACTCTACACGTGGACATCACCAGATGGTTAATACTGCAATCAGATTGATTATATTCTTTGCAGCTGAAGATGGAGACGCTCTATACAATCAGCGAAAACAAGACTGGGAGCTGACTGTGGCTCAGATCATGAACTCCTTATTTGAAAATTCAGACTTAAATTAAAGAAAGTAGGCCATTCAGGTATGACCTAAATCACATCCCTTATGATTAAACAGTGAAAGTGACAAATAGATTCAAGGGATTAGACCTGATAGAGTGCCTGAAGAAATATGGACAGAGGGTCTTAACATTGTACAGGAGGTGATGACCAAAACCTTTCCCAAGAAAAAGAAATTGAAAAAAGGCAAAATGGTTATCTGAGCAGGCCTTACAAATAGCTGAGAAAAGAGAAGTGAAAGGAAAAGGAGAAAAGGAAGATATACCTATCTGAATGCAGAGTTCCAAAGAATAGCCAGGAGAAATCAGAAAGCCTTCTTAAGTGAACAATGCAAAGAAATAAAGGAAGACAGTAGAAACCAGAAGACTAGATCACTTTCCATTCCAATCCCAAAAAGGGGCCATGCCCGTGAATGTTCAAACTACTGCACAACTGCACTCATTTCACATGCTGTCAAAGTAATGTTCAAAATCCTTCAAGCTACGCTTTAACAGTAAGTACATGAACAAAGAACTTTCACATGTTCAAGCTGAATTTAGAAAAGGCTGAGGAACCAGAGATCAAATTGCCAACATGCATTGGATCATAGAAAAAGCAAGGATATTCCAGAAAAACATCTGTTTCATTGACTGTGCTAAAGCCTTTGATTGTGTGGATCACAACAAACTGGAAAATTCTTAAAGAGAGGAGAAAACCAGATCACTTCACCTGCCTCCTGAGAAATCTTTATGCTGGTCAAGAATCAACAGTTAGAACCAGAAGTTGAACAACAAACTGGTTCCAAATTGAGAAAGGAGTATGTCAAGGCTGTATATTGTCACTCTGCTTATTTAACTTCTATTACATCATGTAAAATGCTGGGCTGGATGAAGCACAAGCTGAAATCAAGATTACCAGGAGAAATATTGGTAACCTCAGGTATGAAGATGACACCACCCTAACGGCAGAAAGTGAAGAGGAACTAAAGAGCATTTTGATGGAGGTGAAAGAGGAGAGTGAAAAAGCTGGATTAAAACTAAATATTCAAAAAATGAAGACCATGACATCCAGTCCCATCATTTCATGGCAAATAGATGGGGAAACAATGGAAACAGTGACAGACTTTATTTTCTTGGGCTTGAAAATTACTGCAGACAGAGACTGCAGCAATGAAATTAAAAAAGATGCTTGCTCCTTGGAAGAAAAGCTATGACAAACCTAGGCAGTGTATTAAAAAACAGAGACATCACTTTGCTGACAAAGGTCCATATAATCAAAGCTATGGTTTTTCAGTACGTACATTGTCATGTACGGATGTGAGAGTTGGACCATAAAGAAGGTTGAGCACTGAAGAATTGATGGTTTTAAACTGTGGTACTGGAGAAGACTCTTGAGAGTCCCTTGAACAGCAAGGAGATCAAACCAATCAATCCTAAAGGAAATCAACCCTGAATATTCATTGCAAGGATTGATGCTGGAGCTTCAGTACTTCAGCTACCTGACATGAAGAGCTGACTAATTAGAAAAGACCCTGATGCTGGGAAAGATTGAGGGCAAGAGAAGAGGGTGATAGAGGATAAGGTGGTTGGATGGCATCCTTGACTCAATGAACATGAGTTTGAGCAAACTCAGGGAGAAAGTGAAGGATGGGGAAACCTGGTGTGCTGCAGTCTATGGGTTTGCAGAGTCAGGAATAACCAAGCGACTGAACAACAAGTCTTCTCAGATGACCTGATCCAATATATATAGGATCTTTAAAAATCCAAAAAAAAGAAAAAAGCTGAGAGGGCTAATATATGAATTTAGCAGTGTTGTAGGGTATAAGATAGACACAGCAAAAACAGTTGTACCATCCAGTAGATCTGTTTGTTATGCTGGCAGTGTTCTAGATCTTTGTTGCCAATATGGTAGCTACTTGTCTTATTTGGCCAATGAGCACTTAAAATATGGCTTGAGGAACTGAATTTTAAACTTTGTATCATTTTAATTAAATAGCCACATATGGTTAGTTTTTACTGTATTGGACAGCACATCTACAGAACTTAACCACTCTCTGGTGTATAATACAGATTTTTTTTCTTCATGTGTATTAAAATTATTTAAAATTGTTTTTTAATAAGAATCATATGACATCTTTGATGTTAATTAGTGATCCTCTGGATATTTGCAATACCAGTTTTGACAATTAACTAATATTGAAGCATATAGCTATAAAAATTATTGAGTCATTGATAAGTCTCCAGATAAATTGTTTAGTATTAGAAAATACTTCTAAAATGATGCTACAGAAATATTAGACATACGGTTGATTTATGGTTTTTACTAACAAGTAAATAATACGAGGAAAAACAATGGTTTCTGCAAAATGGCAAAGTCAGATGAGATTGTCTGTACTCTGTCTCTTTTTTCATTTACATTCACTTAGGTTCAGTAAACATTTATTAAGGGCTGACATTTTGCTTGACTTTGTGCTAGGCTCTAGAGAAACCAAAATGAATAAGACACAGTGCTTGACCTTATGGTGTCCACTATCTCTAGTCTATTGGAAATCATTTAATGGTGGTGACTATAATAGAACTGGAGTAGCAACCTCAATAAACTGAATCTGCCTGGAGGATTTGGGGAAAAACATCAAACAGTAGGCACAAAGTTTTTAGTGGAACATTTTATCTGTTAGTCTTTAAAATTTTTTATTATGAAAACTTTCAAACATATGTATAAGTGGTAAGAGTTGTATAATGACTGTCCATATTCTGAACATCTAACTGCAGTAGTAATCAATACTTAGGCTCTAATTTCGTCCATTTCATCTACTCATTTTACTGCCACAGATTATTTTGAGGCAAATAGCAGGAGTTATCTAATTGAAACCCTAAAAATTTCAGTATATAAAAGAGAAAGCATCCTAAAGTTGTGTATATATGTATATATATGTATGTGTTTATGTATATACACAAATGAATATATTCACAATATAATTATACTACTGAAGTGTTAACATCAGCTTTTATAAATCATGACATCATCGGTGCAGTCATGTGTACACACACACACATATCTATGTATATTTTTCTTTTCCTATGTATTTGTATACATGCATAAGCACAATTTCATCATTATGCCTATAATAATTTGTGTATATATATGTGTATATATACTGTTCCAGTTTCCCTGATTATCTTCCAGATTATTTTTCAATTTATACTCTTGTACCAGGAAGAGATTTAAGGTAGAGGAATCAGTGAGAGCTTAACAGTAATTCAGAAACTGTAAAGACCAAAACTAATAAGGCACTTGTTGACTTGACATAGAATTGATTAGTTGTATATGTGTGTGTGTTTGGAGACTGACGTGAGAAAACATTGCTACGATTTGTGTCAGAGAATGTTTTGCGTATGTTCTCTTCTGGGATTGTTTTGCTAAGTTTCTGTGAAGAGATGGTAAATTAGTTAATTTTTTTCCTTAAGTTTTAATTTGAACAAAGAAAAGAATTAATGTAGTGATTTATTTTTTCCTCAGTGAACAGCTGTTATTAAATCAGTGGTGTATCTTGAAATCTTGCTTTAAAACTTGAGGAAAGCCAATAGTTGCCATGCAGTTCATGTTCTAAAACTCCTAGGATAGTTCATTAGGCTTTCTCTCACAATAGTAACCAGAGTAATTTTTGATGCAATTTTAAAAGTTTTGATTGTGATATAGTTTTAACATAGTTGGTATGGCACTGTGAAGTTCTAGAGGCAAGTATACTAAAAAAAAAAAGTACTACCCGACAGCCTTATCAGGAAAGTGGACTAAGAAATAAAAGTTTATGAAGCTAGTGTATCACACACACAATCAAATCTGCTTGAGGCTGTTTAGGTAGGGTAAAAATCAGTATCTCTGTATAGCTATTTTAATGAGGCACTTCTATGAGTGGCTCCAGTAGCGGTCTGTTATTACTGTTATTCCTTATGATTATTCTTGCCCTTAAAGGCATGACTTTTATTTCAGCTTTGTTTAAATAATTAATATTTATGATGACAGTTCTGAATTACTAAGAATTCAGTGTTTCATAAGACTCCAAATCATGTCTTTTTTTAAGAAAGTTATTCTTCAGAAATGATGAGAGGGAGGGAGAGAGGGGAATGAAAGTGAGAATACTTAGTAGGTGTTTAACAGGGAAAGTTTCACTCCCATCACTTACTCCCATTATTAGATAATACCACTGCTATGCCATTTTTCTGGTATCCTTCCAGTGTTATATATGTATGTATATATGTATACTTACATATGTATGCATATATATATGTATACATAAACTCACATGTGTGTTATCAAATGACATCATACTATCCATGTTTTGTAAATTGCCTTGTTTCACAACATATCTTGGACATCTTAGAGAAGTGTTTTAGAAATAAATACATGGTATTGAATATTAGGGATCTGTTTGCTTATATTTTAAATACATTTTTATCTTTATCCTTAAAATTCTTGTGTTTATTCTTATTTGAAAAGCAATATAAAAAGTTTGTAATAAAATGAATTAGCATGTATGCATTCTGTGAAACATGTGTGGTATATTAGATATTAGTATTTTTCCTAACTGATATGAAAGGCGTTTTCTGCTATTGAAATATATTTTAAGTAGGTATTCATTAAAATTGGATAAAACTATACAACTAATTAGTACTTGTCTGGTAACAGGATATTGATAATGGTAAGTCAGTGTTTCTCCTTTTAAAATATAATGGTGAGAAGACTGAGTTCACAGTTTAAATTCTTTCTGCATTTAAAATCATGAATGCTAATCATCCGAGAGGTCTAATTATGCTATTTTTTTAGAGTTTTTAGTGTCAAGGGTAAAGATTGTTGCAAATCAAAGGTAAAACTTTTTGCTTAAAAGGATGAACTATATTTATACTTAAGTTCTTGTACCATTCTTTGTCACTTGTTTTCTTAAGCTTGGCTCTGTGTTTAAGTACAGCAGTCCTAAAACATCTTTGCTAGATTAATGCACATTTTGTGAGAATATGAATGCTCTGATTGAAACTCCATTCATCTGAGGCATTTTTTTCAGTTTTAGCTTTTGTTTAAAGAAAGTTTTAGCATTAGTATGTAGATATAAAATACAACTTTTTCAAAGTACTTTAAAATATTTTTTTTCCCACCCCTATAAGATTTAGTTTTGAAAGAGCAGGTAGAGTAGTACCTGGAAGTCAGAAATCTGGATTCTTGTCTTGTTCTACAATAATTAGCTGTATGTGACCACAGTCTGTTCATTTATCCTCTCTGGCCCTTATTTTCTTATCTGAGAAGTGAAGATATACGTGATTACATGATTTCTAAGGTCCTTTGCAATTCTAAAATGCCAAGTTTCTTTGAAGTAATTTTTGTGTTAGTTGTATAGTTTATGTTAAGGTTTAGTGAAGGTATATTTTATATAATATGTGTGTATGTTTCATGTGTATATTCATATGTTTCAGTCTTCATTGAGTTGTCTAAAGCTTTGTTGAATGTTTTTTGTCTTCTATGCTTGATGTCTGAAAAATCTTAACTGATTAAGACAGTTATGAACCTTGCCATCATGCAGTAGTTTTCAGTGGAGAAAAGTGAAATTAAACAACTATTATGTAATTAATTATTTTATCCAGATGTGATGTGTACTGAGAAGATTGAGTAGCAGAAAAAGAAAAATAGCAGGAAGAATGAGCACAGGGGTACTAGGAGAGTAGATCATCCCTGCCTGAGGATCCTGGAATGCTAAGGAATTATGGGAAGGCAGAATTTCATAGTGAGTCCCACAAAATATGGCTGTTGGTCTGGGGTGGGGGTATCAGATCATAAAATGTTTTGAGACCACTTAAAGATTTTGGTTTTCATGCTAATATTGCATGTATTACTTCCAGTTATGTCCTTGGTGTTACACAATCCAATAGATGCTAGTAATACCCATGAAATACATTTCATATGTTAGAGAAATCTTTTCTGTCAGTCACTGAACTATCAGTGACATCAGGTGCCTGACTTTTCCCTATGCCCTTTCCCTCTTTAGTAGTGTTTTAAGGTGTAATAACCTAACAATATTTGCAAGTTCTGTATAGTAAAAATTACTTTAATGCTTGGTAAAGTCAGATAAATTTTTCTTTTTGGATTATCAGTTGCTTCATATTTTCTCTGCCTTTTTCCTGCTCAGTCATGAGAATTTTTAATGTATTATCCATTAAAATTAGCAAATTAGTACACTAGTTTTGTGATTTACATTTTTTGATATCTATTGATTTACTTCCTATTTCACCACTGATTGTGTTCATCATTAGGAAATATTAGTATGTAAAAACCATGTTTGTTTATATACAAGTAAGTTGCCTGATTTTTTTTTTTAATTGTTCATTTTTAAAGAACACTTATGTTAAAAAGATGTGTCCTGATTTCATTATCTTGGAGACTCATTTGTGGTAGAAATATTCCTTTTGGCTAAACTAAAAATTGTTTAATGACGAGGACTCAGTCTTTGTTTTTTTTTTCCTTTTTGACTCAGTCTTTCTAAGGCACTGTAACAAAAGGGAAATGACCCCTTTGTGATACCTGAGTATTCTGAGTTGGTTCAAAGATTTCATTTCATGTGTTTTCACTTTTATAACATTGATGCAAAGATAGCGATTAAAACCTTATCATTTTTAGTAGCAGGGTTATGCTTCTCAGGCTGATTTCCTATTTCTGTTTTCAGTAGACTGAGATAGGGGCCCACTCTGATATATCAGAATACTGTAGTCTCACTACTGAACCGTGTATTTCCCGTTCTTGTTTGATTGGCTTCAGCATGCTCTTCTCAGAAATTTAGAACAATTTATATTAAATCTCATTTTCAACTTAGTCTAATGAATGTTTATGCAAACTAAAACAACCTATTGTATATTTATCTTTCTTATCTCTGTGTATTTGAATTAATTTGAGAGCCATTATGATTGATAAATTCATTAAATATGAATCCTAGGCCACTTATTTTTCTCTTTGTGAAGTTCAGTATTTCAGTTTTTACCAGTGCTGATTAATTTATTCAGAACATATTTATTGAACATTGATTATGAAGAGCAGCCTCCATCAGTCACTTGTATAAGATAGCCACATGGATAAGACATTCTTCGTCTCAAGGATCTGACAGAGTTTTAAGGGCAGTAAAAATATTAATAAAGTTTATAAATAACACAATATAAAAAATATTAAAATGATGTATAGGAGAGTTTAGAAGAAGGAAGAATTATTTTTCCTTCTCCCTTCTTTGAGGTACAATCTAAGGTAAACCTCACAGGGAAGAAACATTTACAGCCTAGATTTTCAAACATAGGTAGGATCAGATATGTGCAGAAGAGAAGAATGCTATTTATTATTAGTGGGGGCTAAGAATATTCCAAAAATGTATGTGGAAAAGCACTAGATATTTAAAAGAATATGATTTATGTAGTATTGAATGGAAGTATATGGAGATAAAACAGGCAAATTCCGTTGGGATGAGATCACTGAGCCCCTTCAGTGCAATTTATATGTATAAATTAAACATAAATTCATGTATATAGGGCTTTCCAGGTGGCTCAGCAGTAAAGAATCTGTCTGCAATTCAGGAGACATGGGTTTGAACCCCAGAGTATCTCCTGAAAGAGGGAATGGCAACCCACTCCAGTATTCTTGCCTGGAGAATCCCATGGACAGAAGAGATTGGTGTGTTAAAGTCCATGGGTCGTAAAGAGTCTGACACGACTGAAACGACTGAACACATGACACACACGTTTATAATATAAATATATATAAATAAAAAATTGGGGAGGGATAAATTGGGAGATTGGGATGGACATATCCACATTACTGTATGTAAAATAGACAACTATAAGGGCCTGCTGTATAGCACAGCACTCTATATAGCACTCAGCAGTCTGTAATGTGATAGATGGCAAAATAGTCCAAAAAGAGGGGATATATGTATGTGTATAACAGATTCACTTCACTAAAAATCTCTATGTGATTTAATTAGTGCTTTCCTGGTCCATTAAGAGAGGCATTGTACTTGTCTATGCCTACATTACTGATACCCATTTTTGTAGGAGATGGTATTCTAAATCTTAGAGTCAGAAAACATTAAGTAAGTTTAGGGAAGCCTGTTTTCCATTTTACAGAAATGATTTCCTTTTTTACATAGTAATAAAAATCAAAATCTATGTGGCTTTCAGAATTATGGTATATTGATGGTTTTAAATTATTTTATTCTATATAGGACACCATTGCAGTGGCTGGATTTGTTGTTCTGTCAGCATCTTCATCTCCAAGCAGAGATGGTAAACATTGCTTATTTCTGAAAGCATCTGAGAACTTCAAATCAACTGTTTATGTAAGTGTGCAACTTTTTTAGTCTAATCATTTTATGATTTTAATGAGCTAAAGTAATGGAATAGAAGTAGTATATCTGTATATCTGCAGATAAACTATTTTGTCTGACTGAATTATTGTAATTAAATATTTTAAGTTTAGAAAATAGGAATCCTTTTCTTAGCTGTTTAGAATGAAATCATTCTAAACATAATATCCCTTAAAGATAAGTAATTTGTTAATGAATTTCTTAAAACTTCACAGGCACTTTAAACCTGATCCTATTCTTTGCAATTGTACTGTCATCCTCTTTTGATGGTCTGCTTGAATTTACCTTAAATTAATCAGATTCCCCTTTTTAGATAAAACTGATTTCCTCCTGTTGTTGTTGAGTTGCTAAGTCTTGTCCAACTCTTGGCGACCCTATGGACTGCAGCACTCCAGTCTCCTCCTTTCTCTAGTATCTCCCAGAGTTTGCTCAGATTCATATCCACTGAGTCATTGATGCTATCTAATCATCTCATTCTGTATGCCCCTTTCTTTTGCCTTCAGTCTTTACCGGAATCAAGATCTTTTCCAATGAGTTGGCTCTTCATATCAGGTGATCATAGCTTCAGTATCAGTTCTTCTAATGAATATTCAGGGTTGATTTCCTTTAGGATTACCTGGTTTGATGTCCTTGCTATCCAAGGGACTCTGGACAGTCTTCTCCAGCACCACAGTTCAAAACCATCAATTCTTTGGTGATCAACCTTCTTTATGGTCCAATTCTCGCATCCATATATGACTGCTGGTAAAACCATAGCTTTGACTAAACAGACCTCTGTTGGCAAAGTGATGTCTCTGCTTTTTAATACACTATCTAGGTTTGTCATAGCTTTCCTTCCAAGGAGCAAACATCTTTTAATTTCATGGCTACAGTCACCATCTGCAGTGATTTTGGAGCCCAAGAAAATAAGATCTGTCACTGCTTCCACTTTTTCCCCTTCTGTTAGATTGGTTCAAAAGTAATTGCAGTTTTGGACTGTGAATTTTAAATCATTATAACTAGACTCCAACACATCTTTATTAATCAAAATAGGAATCATTACAATCAATGCATTTTTGCCAATAAGAAATAAGTCTCTCTATTCCTGTAGCATAAAAATCTGTGCTTCAGGATTCGATGAACTCTTGGAAAGCATTTTCTGCCTCCTGCTCATTGTGGAAGCATTTTCCTGCAAAAAGTTGTTGAGATGCTTGAAGAAGTGGTAGTCAGTTGGATATGGCAGATGAGGCAAAGCTTCATAGCCCAGTTTGTTCAACTTTTGAAGTGTTGGTGTAGTCAGGTATTATGAAGAAGAATTTGACCCTTTCTGTTGAACAGTGCTGGCTTCAGGCTTTGCAGTTTTTCATGCATCTCTTGGATTGGCTGAGCATACTTCTCAATTGTAATGGTTTTGCTGGGATTCAGAAAGCTGTAGTGGATCAGACCAGCAGCAAACCACCAGTGACCACGACCTTTTTTTGGTCCAAGTTTGGCTTTGGTAAGTGCTTTGGAGTTTCTTGGTCCAATCACTGAGCTGGTCATCACTGGTTCTCATATAAAATCCACTCTTCATTACATGTTACAATCCAATTAAAACATGGTTCATTGTTATTGTGTTGAATAAGAGAAAATGACACTTCAAAACAATTATCTTTTTGATTTTCATTCAGCTCATGAGACACCCCTTATCAATCTTTTTCACCTTTCTGATTTGCTTCAAATGCCAAATGACTGTATCATGAACAACATTGAGTTCTTCGACAGTTTCTTGTATAATTGTAAGAGGATCAGCTTCGATGATTGCCTTCGGTTGTCAACTTCTGAACACTAGCCTCTAAGCTTCTCCTCCTCAAGGCTCTCATCTCCTTTGCAAAACTTCTTGAACCACTGCTAACATATTGCACTGTATGTTAGCAGTTAGCAGTTCCTAGGCCAAATGTGGTGTTGATGTTGAAAGTTGTCTTCTCTGCTTTGTGAACCATTTTGAACTCAAATAAACAAGTTGCTTGAATTTTGCTTTTTGTCTAACATTATTTCTATATTCTAAAATAAATATAAAATAAACACTAAATAATAAGTCATTAGGAAAACCACAGTTAAAAATGCACATTAAAATGATGTATGATATAACCACATTTATTTAATAATGTATTCCAGTATCAAACAGCAAAATTCAGCAATGCAAAACTGCAATTACTTTTGCACCAACCTAATATTTGCCATAAAGTGATGAGACCAGATGCCATGATCTTAGTTTTTTGAATTTTGAGTTTCAAGCTAACTTTTTCACTCTCCTCTTTCATCCTTACCTAGCAGCTCTTTAGTTTCTCTTTGCTTTCTGCCACTAGAGTGATATCATCTGCATATCTGAGATTGTTGATATTTCTCCTGGTTGATATTTCCTCCTGTTTGATTGCTTATGATCATCCTCTGCCTCTCTCTTTACGCCCCCATACACATACACGAAAGTGTGCATCCTCTTCCTCTCTCTTCATCCCCACCCCTATCAACACACACAGATACACATACACACACAGTTGGAAACTACCTGTTTGGTCAAGGCTGTCAGGTAGAGAAGCAAAATTGGGTCAAGCCATGTGCCTGCAGACCAACATCTACCTGTTTTGTTGTGTTCTGCTTGTCTGAATAGGGCATTATATGAACCAGTGTGGTCCTATGATATTAAAATTAATGAAATAAACTGAAGCTTAGCTTAGACAATTTTGTCACTGTCACTGTTTATTTGTAAGCTGTTATGCCATTCTAGTGAACTTTAATATTATAAGATTAAGATTGTAGGTTTAATACAGTTAAATGTCTGTAATCACATTGCACATGATTGTATACAAATAAATCCTCTCTTTTTTTCAGGTTTATGTTAAACCGGTAGGAGATTGTTCTACAGAATCAATGTCTTTGGTAAGATGATGTTCATTTTAATTTAGAAATGTACACCCTCCCACACACACATGCCTATATTTATATACAAATATGTATTCAGGCAACTTTATAGGTAGCTATAAACTTTGAAATTGTATCAGTACAGTGGGAAAACATAATCTCTACTTTTTCAATACATGATGATATTACATTTGAGTTATATGTTTGCATAATAATTAATATCTGGTTTGTCTGTTACATGGAATATTTGCTTATATTTTGTGAAAGTTATGTGCACAAGAAAATTAAAGTGGAAAAAAAGTTTTATTGTGTGAAGACACTAGGATTTTTGCTACTTCTAAATCTTAAGCAATCATTTATTTTGCTTTTCATCAGCTTATGTTTAAAACTGATTATTGTGCACTAAACTGTGATTTGATAAATTATGTAATTTTCAGTAAAGAAGTTTTTTATACTTGTGATACATTTTGCTTTTCTTTTTAAAATCATTTTTTCAATATTTTTAAAAATATTGTTATCTCATAGCAATGAAAAGGTCCCCATTTTTTCAAGTAAACTACTTATAGCTGAGTGAAACTAGAAAGAAGGTAATATGTTGATAAATGTAAAGTTTATGTTCTACTTATGTTCTTAAACCTTTACTTTCTGTTGGACAGAGTTCATCAACTTCGTTTCTAGTTGACAGTAACTTCAGGGTATAGGCTTTAAATTCTGAATACTACCATAACAGTATAATTTAAATTTGTTATTTAGGGAAAATAACCAATAAGAGGATTGATATACTTTGAAGAAAATATCAGTTAACTCTGATATTAGTATTTTTCAAAATTGTTATAAATAGGTCAAGTTCAAATATTTGATTCATCCATGCACCTGTAAATAAGGCAGAAGTAAATGAAAGCCTCTGTACTTAGCAAAAATGTTTTTTCAGGAAGCTCAGGCATTAGTTTATAACTGAAATATTAGCATATAACTTATCTGCTATACACACATATACATGTTTTACTTACATTGAAAACCAAATTACTGTCAAGAAGTTTATTGCTAGTTGTGAATTAATAAATATATTATTTGGAAGACCATAATGGTTAGGGTCTTGGAGCTGTGCTGGCCTTTGCTTCATCTCTACATTAGGGAGATATTTGTTAAGATAGTTTATTGGATCCAGTTAGTTTGGGAGCTGAGCTCCTCTCAGGTCTTCCTGTCCTATATGCTGACCATTATTTTTCTTTCTTTCTTTCTTTTTTTATATCATGGTTTGATGAGATTTCTAAGCAAGCTCTGTCCTTCTTGTGTTTGACCTGAGCCTCCTTGAAAAAAACCAATTCATTTTGATTTAATTTTTAAAATTTTAACTGTTAGTGTGATAAGTAACCTTATTTCAGTTGGGAGTGACATTGGTGGGTGACAGACCAGGTGACTGAGTCCTTTTCAGGATTGTTTGACTAATAGTGTTTGTAATTTCCTTGGTTCTGTCTTGCCACAACAAAAATTTGAAGCGATGGGCGGACCAGTGTTATTACAGCTCGGTGTTACTGCTTGGTTACAGCTCAGTTTTATTTGGCAAACAAAGGAAAATACATCCTCGAGGTGTGAGGGAGGGCCAACCCAAAAGAAGCACAGAGAAGAGAGAGAGAGTCTCAATTTTGGCTCCTCTTTTTATATGTTTTTCTTTTCTCCTCCCCCGAGCCTGCCCTGTGTAAATTGGGCTAGCCAAGAGGGCTTTTTATTTCACCTGAGGTTCTCACTCCACTGCTCGGACCTTCCTCTGTTCTATTTTTGTGGGCTTTTTCCTTTCTTTGTCTGTTAGCCACCACCATTCTGGACTCCTTTTTCCTATTCTAACCATCTAACATTCCTCCCTCAAGAGACTCGAGATGGGAGGCCCAATTCTTTGGGAATAGGGGCGTCGAGGTCTCTCAGGCTACTTCCTGCTGAACTGGGATGGGGAGAGGCATTGGGCCTCCCCCTCTTGCTAGTCTCAAGCCTCAGAGTCCTTATAGCAGTGTCCATCTAAGGGTGAGTGATATTTTCCATAGTTGGCTGTAGCTTTATATATCGTTGTTGAACTGGCACTGCATGTTGTAGCTTGTTGACCTGGGCAGAGACAAAACAGGTTAGACAATTGATACTACATGGAGCCATCATAGGCAGCACCAATATGCTGATAACAAAGATTAGTAGGGGTATTCAGTTCAGTTCAGTCACTCAGTTGTATCCGACTCTCTGTGACCCCATGAATTGCAGCACGCCAGGCCTCCCTGTCCATCCCCAACTCCCAGAGTCCATCCAAACCCATGTCCATCGAGTCGGTGATGCCATCCAGCCATCTCATCCTCTGTCGTCCCCTTCTCCTCCTGCCCCCAATCCCTCCCAGCATCAGGGTCTTTTCCAATAAGTCAACTCTTCACATCAGGTGGCCAAAGTGTTGGAGTTTCAGCTTCAGCATCAGTCCTTCCAGTGAACACCCAGGACTGATCTCCTTTAGGATGGACTGGTTGGATCTCCTTGCAGTCCAAGGGACTCTCAAGAGTCTTCTCCAATACCATAGTTATTAGCCAACTCCAAATTCCCCATCGCCAGGAGAAGGATCCCCCAAAGAGAGATTGTAGCCACCCTGAGAACTCTCATGCTCATTCTTTGAGATCCTGTAGGATCTGATTTTTTCCTTTTTTTTCTGAGGACTGTAAGACTTTCTTTAACTTACCTGGAGGTATTTATCCAGAAACAACATGTCTCATTCAAGGTGGCTCAAGTCCCAACTTGTTCAGGGATCAGGAGATCTATCTCATGTCTATTTTGGGACACAGCCCCTGCCAAGCTGTGTTTGCTCTTTAGAACTATCGTGAGACATCTTATCCCCAGAAACTTAATTTTGGGGGTATTCATTGGAATGGCACTCATTTGTAGTCTTGAATAGGTATCTGAGATCTCCCAGGGGCTCACAGGTGCATTGAGTGTCCTCTTCTGTTTTTTTCCACAGCTTGACTCATGAGTAGTGAATCCAGGAGTCATGTCCGGGTACCTTGACTGCTGCGGGGGTAGAAAATATTACAGGGTAGGGGCCCTTCCATGTGGGCTGGAGTTGAGCCTTTGGGACCCATCTTTTCAGAATTTAATTAGGACTTGAGTCTCTGGAGCATATAATGGTGGCTGTTTAGAATCTTTTAGGCCTTAGTTGACACCCCACAAGTGTATATCTTGTTGGAAGTGCACAACGGCCATGGTATAAGACCGGAGGGACTGAGCCTGTGAATCTAGGAAGAGGTCACTGACATAAACAAAAGGTCCCCCATAGAGCATCTCATAAGGACTAAAACCAACCTGTTCCTTAGGGGCAGTACGGGTGTGGAGGAGAGCTATTGGTAAAGCCTCCTTCCAGCCCAGGGAGGTCTCCTGGGTTATCGTTTTATTGCTGATTTTAAGAAATGGTTTACCTAATACCTGTAAATCACTTCCCCTTTTATTTCCAAACTTATGTACAGTTATTTCATATATTTTCTTCTTTTATTACCATTTTAAAGTCTTTATATCATTTATAATCAAATCTGCCTTTACATAGGCCTTAGTAAAATCTTCATGGCAGTATAAGAAAAACAAATATATGCCATAAGTTTTGAAGTGATTCTAGTTAAAGTTAAAAGCTAAAACTAAAATCTCTTAAACTGATTTTTTTTAAGCTGTATACAGATTGCAACATTAATAATCAAAGCTATTTATAAGAAAAAGTAGTATATACCATAACCTTTATAAGCTGTACATTTCCCTTTTTTTTAGACATCTCTTTTTTAGACACAAAGAAATAGATGCAGATCAGTTTACTAACTTACAGATTGATCATAACGTGATTCTAAAATCTAAAAATAAATACTTAATAATATTGATATATTCACTGTCTTTCTTTAGGCTCCAGCCACACATTATGTATATACACCCCTGAATCAACTTAAAGGTGGCATGATTGTGAACGTCTATGGTGTCGTGAAGTTCTTTAAACCTCCGTACCTAAGCAGAGGAACTGGTAGGTATTAAAATGGGTGAAGATTTTAATGAACTGGATCTGCTTTATTGGTTTCAACACAGCTCCTTTGGTACTCTTAAGTCTTACAAGCTCAATTCTGATTTGTCATTGTCAAACAATACTGATGCAGATTTTTTTGGCCAGTTTTAGTTATAAAATAAGTGTCGTCTTTAGGTTCTAAAGAATAAAGAAATTAAAAGGATGCTAAACAGTAACATGACAGCATATGCAAGTATATACGAAAGTATAGAATAAGAAAAGGTAAATAAATAGCCAATTACAGAATACTGTAATACTGTAATGATGATTTGTAAATCATTTTAATTCTGGTACAGAAGTTAAATAACAAATGTATAAAAAAGAACCACCTGTAAATACATGTTAGTGGGTACACAATATAAAAGGATAACATTGTAATTTTGTAACATCAGTGACATGGAGTATGTGTTGGGGAGAGTAAAAGTGTAGCATTTTTGTGTGTGATAGTTTATTTTTTATCAGCTTGAGACAGTTTTAACTGTAAAATGTCTTATGTAAATTTTCTGTTAACCAAAAAGAAAATACCTATGGATGATACTCAAAAGAAAATGGGAAAGGAATCAGACTTTATGTAATGACAAAAAAAAAAAAAAAAATCAATGAAATACAAAGGAAGATCATAAGAGGAAACAGAGCAAAAGAGCTACAAGTTAGAAAAGAATTAGCAAAATGGCAAGAGTAAGTTCTTCTTTAAATGTAAAAAGGTTAAACACCCTATTCAAAAGACTTGGGTTGCTTTAAAGCTAATTGAGAAGATATAATCTATTCTCAGCAGTGGCCACAGGACTGGAAAAGGTCAGTTTTCATTCCAATCCCAAAGAAAGGCAATGCCAAAGAATGCTCAAACTACCACACAATTGCACTCATCTCACACGCTAGTAAAGTAATGCTCAAAATTTTCCAAGCCAGGATTCAGCAATACATGAACTGTGAACTTCCAGATGTTCAAACTGGATTTAGAAAAGGCATAGCAACTAGAGATCAAATTGCCAACATCTGCTGGATCATTGAAAAAGCAAGAGTTCTAGAAAAACGTCTATTTCTGCTTTATTGACTATGCCAAAGCCTTTGACTGTGTGGATCACAATAAACTGTGGAAAATTCTTCAAGAGATGGGAATACCAGACCACCTGACTTGCCTCTTTAGAAACCTGTATGCAGGTCAGGAAGCAACAGTTAGAACTGGACATGGAACAACAGACTGGTTCCAAATAGGAAAAGGAGTATGTCAAGGCTGTATATTGTCACCCTGCTTATTTAACTTATATGCAGAGTACATCATGAGAAATGCTCAGCTGGATGAAGCACAAGCTGGAATCAAGATTTCCAGGAGAAATATCAATAACCTCAAATATGCAGATGACACCACCCTTATGGCAGAAAGTGAAGAAGAGCTAAAGAGCCTCTTGATGAAAGTGAAAGAGGAGAGTGAAAAAGTTGGCTTAGAGCTCAACATTCAGAAAACTAAGATCATGGCATCTGATCACTTCATGGAAAAGAGATGGGGAAACAGTGGCTGACTTTATTTTTCTGGGCTCCAAAATCACTGCAGATGGTGATTGCAGCTATGAAATTAAAAGATGCTTGCTTCTTGGAAGGAAAGTTTTGACCAACCTAGACAGCATATTAAAAAGCAGAGACATTACTTTGCCAACAAAGGTCTGTCTAGTCAAGGCTATGCTTTTTCCAGCAGTTAGGTATGGATGTGAAAGTTGGCCTATAAAGAAAGCTGAGCACCGAAGAATTGATGCTTTTGAACTATGGTGTTGGAGAAGACTCTTGAGTCCCTTGGACTGCATCATCCTAAAGGAGATCAGTCCTCGGTGTTCATTGGAAGGACTGATGCTGAAGCTGAAACTCCAGTACTTTGGCCACCTCATGTGAAGAGCCAACTCATTGGAAAAGACCCTGATGCTGGGAAAGATTGAGGGCAGGAGGAGAAGGGGACGGCAGAGGATGAGATGGTTGGAGGGCATCACCGACTCGATGGACATGGGTTTGGATGGACTCCGGGAGTTGGTGATGGAGGCCTGGAGTGCTGCGGTTCATGGGGCCGCAAAGAGTTGGAGACAACTGAGCAACTGAACTGAACCTATTTATGTAAAAGTGCAAACTTTTAAACAGACTAATGTAAAATAATGTGTTCAAAAAGTGTGAATTTCAGTTTTCTGAGAGTTAATGTAGTTAACAGACAATGCACTTCATCTTGGTTTAATTCAGTTCAGAATTAAATTTCACATTTATTACTCTGTTGCGACTGAACTGAACTGAACTCTGTTGAGTCTAATTTTAAAGGACAACAGTTTTTAAAACGTATCATTGTTTTATGTATTATTAAGAAAAGCTATACTTTACTGTCAGTTGTAAGATGTAGCCATATTTTAAGATGTAAAAAAGGTGGTGTTAATGAAACATTTTTCTTTATCTACTGTGTGTCTGCCAACTGCTGTGGCTCATGCTGAGAACACTAAGATGTTCTTAGTGAGTTAATATTCTTTAAAGATTTAATTTATTAAATTGTTGTTCAGTCACTAAGTCTTATCTGATGCTTTTGTGACTCCGTGGACTGTAGCCTGCCAGGCTCCTCTATTTATGGAATTTCCTAGGCTCGAATACTGGAGTGGGTTTCCATTTCCTTCTCTAGGGGACCTTCCTGACCCAAGGATCGAACCCATGTCTCCAGCATTGTAGACAGATTCTTTACTGAGCCACCTGGGAAGCCCTCATTAAATTACATGTGTAAATTTTATTGTGAAATGACCTCTAAGTTTACTCCTCGCTTTGTTGGATGGAGGAAAATTTTATTTTCATGTGGTCCTTATATTTTGTTAATGTGTTGTCACAACTTAGTTTATGTGAAAATGACTATGTGAAGCTTATTAAATCTAGAGATAAGAAGTTTGAAATAGAAGGTAGCTAAGTTTGAAGAGCCCAAAGGGATGTTTTGTTGAAAACCCTGACTTCTGTTATTTTAGCAGGAGGGGAAAAAGTTAAACACTAACGTTGAAGCAGAGAAATTTTTGTTTGAATTTCTCAAATATTTTTATTCAACTTTACCTTTTTGCAAAGTCTACATTCCATACCCCATCTTACCATTCAAAATACACATGCAGACTTTCACTTTAGTAGGATCTTCTCACTGAATTTTTCCCCCTGAATTTTACATTGCTCATCCTGAGAATTCTGTTACTGTGATCTTCTTCCGATGGTGAGTGTTATCCCACTGGCTTTCATTGACCTGACCAATTTAAGAATAAGCGCTGGTAGTAATGTTCTGTAACTTGGTAGAAGATATAATTTTAAAACTTTTTTGCACTTGGTGTGTTGCAAATGCTTATCATTAAAAGTTTATAGTAAATTAATCAGCAAATATGTTAAAAAATAACATGAAATGAAATTAAGAAATAAAAATATAGCTGTTTTTAAAACAGCTATGACGACTCAACATTAATTTTATATAGCATAGTCATTTTCTTCTGACAGTGTTGTTAATTCATGTGTATATAATGAAAGCACTGGGAAACTGTATAATAATATGTTTATTATATAGTCTATGCATCTTATGTGTCTCTCAGATATCCAGTCCCTATATTTCTGTTTCTTCTGAGATACTAAGTTAAAATGAACGTCATCAATTTTTTCTGAATGTATTCACTGAAGCTCTAAAATATGTCTGAAGATATAGGGAGATATCTTTTTTGCAAACTATCTGTCTTTTCATTTTAGTTACACTTAATTTTTATTTCTGTTTGATAGAGTTTATCCTTCAACATGCTGCAGGAGAGTCAGACAGAAAGCTCTGATTTTTTTGTTCAGGAAAGGATCAACTTCATTAGTATTACCACTGAGAAGGATTAGAATAAATGTACTGGAATAACCCACAGCTGTGCCTCTTTTGTATGATATAAAGCAACGTTATTTCACAAATACATGGCCACAACCTAAATATTACATCTTAATGTACAAAATAGTTATGTGGAGGAAAGTTACCTTTCCTTTCTTTATTCTCTTACATATCATCAGCTAGAGTTTTCCATTAAAATTCATTTTATAAATGTTCAGTGCAGTGCCGTGGAGACAGCTTGGTGCAGTTTTGCATCCTTACTACTTGGCTGAGATTTTTCTTGAAGACGGTCCTCCTCTGTGATAATGAGTACACATGACCTGTAGCGCATTTTTGCCATCTTGTTTTAAAGCATTGCACATGCTTTATTTCCTAAGCTTTGTATTGAGTCTCAGGGCAGCTGCAGCTTTTATTCTTCTGGAAGTCTTTTTTTTTTTTTCTTCTTTCTTCAGTCCTGTTTTAAAAGGACTATAGTTACTCAGTCTCTTACTAATTTGTGATGATGTCATGAAAACTGAGAATTTCTCAGGGATAATAAGAACAACATTTATTAAAAGATCATTGTATCATCCAAATTGATTTATCACTCATTGGGGTACATAATATGGCCTCTTTCATGTAGGAAGACAAGGTTATTGTCACCTTCTTGGGATTTTGAGATTTATATCCATTACCTCCTGTGAAAGCCTTACAGTTACTTTCACTTTGCAGAGCTGGATATAGAGAGCTAGGTATTCAGTGTTTCATCTTGTACAGATAACATTGGGCATATTTTCTAGAAAAAAACATATGCATGTGTAAAGACTTAAACATATAATATCAAAGGTTCATTCCCTGCTTCCTTTGAGCTTCAGATTGGAAACTCCTGATCTGTGATATGTTTAGAGCCACTTATCTGAATATTTAATTAATATCAAAGCTACCACGTATGTATTGGTTTAATGTATGGCATTTAAAACAAAATAAATATATAGATTTTTTTTCAGTTCACTCGTTTGCATTTATGCAACAAACATTGACAACTTTCTATGTTCCAGGTGTTATATTAGACGTGAAACATTCAAAGATGTATGTAATTGTTTTCCACCCTCAAGAAATTAAAATTTTTACTTTAGAC